GCCATATTTTCTTCTTCTTTCTCCCTCTGTCTTTATATCCCCTTAAAGTGTTTGGTCTCGTGTCTTTTAGTATATTTTTTACCTTGTCTTTGCTTTCTTTCTCTTCTTTTTCCTTAGTCTTTCCTGTTGTTTCTTTGCATAACTTGATTTTGATGGTGTTTTGGTTCAGTCCTATTGTGTCTTGTTCTGTTATGTCAAACCCGTATAAGAGCTGGCATGACAAGATTGGAGTTGAGCCTCACTGTCAACAAGTCAGAGGGGATGTTCCTTCCATGAACAGGACATCAATAATCAAATCCCAGTTATAGCAGGAGATCCCAAATAATGGACACAAGGCACAATCCTAGAGCATCCAGCACAGGTGAACAAAGAGACAGCACCACTAAACCCCTCAAAACACTTTCTACATAAAGCCATCCCACAAAGAATGGGAGATATAACATTTCTCTATAATATATAGAAACAAAAAGAGACAGATAAAATGGGGAAACAAAAAAAACAACCTACAAATTAAAGAAAAGGAGGAGTCTCCAGAAAAAGAACTAAATGAAATGGAGGCAAGCAACCTATCAGAAATGGAGTCCAAAGCAATGGCTATAAAGATGCTTAAGGAACTGAGTGCAAATTATAACAGCATGAGAAAGGAAACAGATGCCAAGAATAAGAACCAGATATAAATGAAGAATAACATATCTGACATCAAGAACACACTAGGAGGAATTAAGAGTAGACTGGATGAAGCAGAGGATGGAATCAGCAATTTGGAAGACAAGGTAGACACAAATACCCAATTAGACCAGCAAATAGAAAAAATAATTAATAAGCTGGAAGATAGCTTAAGGGAGCTCTGGAACAACATGAGACATAAAAACATCTGCATCATAGGAATACAAGAAGGGAAGAAGAACATGAGCTAGGAACTGAGAACATGTTTGAAGAAATAATGGCAGAAATCTTTGCCAACCTGGTGAAGGAAAATGTCACACAAGTTCAGGAGGCACAGAATCCCAATCAAGATGAACCCAAAGAGTTCATCATAATTAAAATGGCAAACACCCTCTGTTTGGGGGCAGCATCCTGGAGGCAGTGTGGAGACAGGGCTGAGAGACCTGAGGGCCACCTAAGTGGGTGCTGGGGGGGTTCAGTCCTCGACAGGTTCTCCCAGCCATGGCCACGAGGTCATCCTCTCAGGGTCCCTCCAGCAGCCCCTCCACAGGAATGGCTTGCTGCACAGCTTCACCTTCCAGGTCCTGCCTCCAGAGCCCTGGGCACAGCCCAGCAGGATTCAGTGATTGTGGGGGGAAAAATGCAATAAAATGTGAAATGTGGCCCTGCAAAAATAAATAAATAAATAAAATAAAATGGCAAACATTAAAGACAAAGAATATTAAGAGCAGCAAGAGAGAGAAAATTACCTACAAAGGTGTTCCTATTAGAATGTCAGCTGAATCCTCGATGGAAACACTTCAAGCCAGAGGGGAAATGGAAATAAGTATTCAAAGTAATGAAAAGCAAAGGCCTGAATCGAAGACTGCTGTATCCAGCAAAGCTATCAATTAAAATTAATGGTGAAATAGAAAACTTTCCAGATCAAAAAAAAAAAAAGGATTAAAGGAGCACATTACCACCAAACCAGCAATGCAAGAAACGTTAAATATATTGCTTTAAGAAGAAGAAGAAAAAATGAGAGCGAGGGCTTCATAGGCATAAAGAAAATAAAAATGGCAATAAAGAAATACCTACAAATAACAAACTTAAATGTAAATGGAGTAAATGCTCCAATCAAAAAACATAGGGTGACTGAATGGATAAGAAAGCATGATCCATATATATGCTGTCTACAGGAAACTCACCTCAGAACAAAAGATACACACAGACTGAGAGTGCAGGGATGGAAAAATATATTCCATGAAAATGGAAAGTGAAAAAAAGCTGGGTTATCAATACTCATATCAGACAAAAGAGTCTTCAAAACAAAGGCTATAATAAGAGACAAAGAAGGCCACTTCATGAATACTAAAGGGAATGACTCAGTAAGAAAATATAACCCATGTAAACATATATGCACTCAATATAGGAGCACCCAAGTACATAAAACAACTCCTGGTGGACTTTAAGGGAGAGGTTGACAGCAATACAGTCATAGTAGGGGACTTTAACACCCATGTGACATCACTTGATAGATCTGTGAAACAAAATATTAACCAGGAAACAGAGGCTTTAAATGACACACTGGATAAGATGGATCCAATGGAAATATACAGAACATTTCACCCTAAAGCAGCAGAATATAAATTTTTCTCATGTGCATATGGAACATTCTCAAAGATAGACAAAAAGTTAGGGCACAAAACAAGTCCTTGCAAATTAACGAAGATTGATATAATACTAATCATCTTCTCAGATCATAATGGCATGAAGTTAGAAATCACCTATAATAAAAAAAATCAAAAATACTCAAATACATGGAGGCTAAATAGCATGTTTTAAAAATGAGTGAGTTACCAATGAGATCAAGCAAGAAATTAAAAACTTCCTGGAAACAAATGTAAATGAACACACAAAAAAAAACAAAACCTATAGGATACAGCAAAAGCAGTCCTGAGAGGGAAGTTCATAGCACTACAGGCCTATCTCAAGAAACAAGAAAAATCACTAATAAACTATATAATTCTACAACTAAATGAACTGGAAAGAGAATACAAGAAAATCCCAGAGGAAGTAGAAGGAAGGAAATAATAAAAATCAAAGCTGAAATAAAGACATAGAGACCAAAAACAAAACAGTACAAAAGATCAATAAATCCAAGTGCTGGTTCTTTGAAAGGATAAACAAGACTGATGAACCCTTAGGCAGATTCATCAAGAAAGAAAGAGAGAGGACCCAAATAAATAAAATCACAAACAAAAGAGGTGATAGAACAATGGACACCACAGAAATCCAAAGGATTATAAGCAAATACTATGAACAACTATATGCCAACAAACTGGACAATGTGGATGAAATGAACAAATTCCTAGAAACATATAATCTTCCAAAACTCAATCAGGAATAATTAGAAAACCTGAATAGGCAAACTGATGAAATGGAAGCCATAATTTAAAACTCCCAACAAACAAAAGTCCAGGATTGGGTGGACTTACAGGAGAATTTTACCATTCAAAGAAGAGCTAATACCTATCCTCCTCAAACGATTCCAAAAAATTCAAGAGGAAGGAGCACTTTCAAGCTTTTTTTATGAAGCCAGCATTATCCTAAATCCAAAACCAGAAAGAGACACTACAATGAAAGAAAACTATAGGCCAGTATCCCTGACAAACATTGATGCTAAAGTCCTCAACAAAATATTAGCAAATCAGATCCAGCAATCTATGACAAAATTCAAATGCTATGATCAACTGGGTTTTATTATGGGGATACAAGGCTGGTACAATATTTGCAAATCAATAAATTTGATACATCACTTAAACAAAATGAAAAATAAAAATTACATGATCACATCAATAGACCCAGAAAAAGCATTCGACAAAATCCAGCACCCTTTTTATTAATATACAGTAGGTCCTTGGGTTACATCAGAGATCTGTTCCTACGGTGCAATGTAATGCGATTTTTGCCGTAAGTCAGAACACACCTACATAAGCACCTACGTCACTCATATGGAGCACATACACAGCAGTAATGAAGTGAAACAGTAAAAAAATTTTAAAATAAAGGTAACAATCCCTTACCTTTACTTGTAGTAAATAAATAAAAAACATAAAGCACATATGTACATATGTCAAAATGACGGAACTTTTTTCTATAAATAAATGGGAGATGGTGACCTAACCATGAAATGATGTATGTCAAGTCTGACGTAACCCGAGGACTGCCTGTATTTTATTGATTTCAGTGAGGAAGGGAGAGATAAAAACATCAATGATGAGAGAGTATCATTGATAGGCTGCCTCCTGTATGTCCCAAATGAGGACATGTGCTCTTGACTGGAATCAAACCTAGGACCCTTCAGTCCACAGGCCAATGCTCTATCTACTGAGCCAAACCAGTTAAGGCAAGCACCCTTTTTTTTTTTTTTTTGATTTCTTTTTTTTTTTAATTAAATCTTTATTGTTCAGATTATTACATTTGTTCCTCTTTTTTTTCCCCCCATAACTCCCCTCCTCCCAGTTCCCGCCCCACCCTCCGCCCTCACTCCCCACCCACTGTCCTCATCCATAGGTGCACGATTTTTGTCCAGTCTCTTCCCGCATCTCCCACACCCCTTTCCCCCCCAAGAATAGTCAGTCCATTCCATTTCTATGTCCCTGATTCTATTATAATCACCAGTTCATTCTGTTCATCAGATTATTTATTCACTTGATTCTTAGATTCACTTGTTGATAGATGCATATTTGTTGTTCATAATTTGTATCTTTACCTTTTTCTTCCTCTTCCTCTTCTTAAAGGATACCTTTCAGCATTTCATATAATCCTGGTTTGGTGGTGATGAACTCCTTTAGCTTTTCCTTATCTGTGAAGCTCTTTATCTGACCTTCAATTCTGAATGATAGCTTTGCTGGATAAAGTAATCTTGGTTGTAGGTTCTTGGTATTCATCACTTTGAATATTTCTTGCCACTCCCTTCTGGCCTGCAAAGTTTCTGTTGAGAAATCAGCTGACAGTCGTATGAGTATTCCCTTGTAGATAACTGAGTTTCTTTCTCTTGCTGTTTTTAAGAGTCTCTCTTTATCTTTTGCTCTTGGCATTTTAATTATGATGTGTCTTGGTGTGGTCCTCTTTGGATTCCTTTTGTTTGGGGTTCTCCGCGCTTCTTGGACCTGTAAGTCCATTTCTTTCACCAGGTGGGGGAAGTTTTCTGTCATTATTTCTTCAAATAGGTTTTCAATATCTTGCTCTCTCTCATCTTCTGGCACCCCTATAATTCTGATGTTGGTACGCTTGAAGCTGTCCCAGAGGCTCCTTACACTATCCTCGCATTTTTGGATTCTTTTTTCATTTTGCTTTTCCGGTTGGGTGTTTTTTGCTTCCTCGCATTTCAAATCATTGACTTGATTCTTGCGCTCCTCTGGTCTGCTGTTGGGAGTCTGTATAATATTCGTTATTTCAGTCCGTGTATGCTTAATTTCTAGTTGGTTCCCCAATATAAGATCAAGGGTCTCATTAGTTTTCTTGTAGATCTCATTAAGTTTATCGGCGGCTTCTAAACAGTTCTTGAGAGACCTTAAAAGTGTGGTTCTGAACTCTATATCTTCCATTGACAATTTTGTCCTGTTTCTTTGTCTCCGCATTTTGTTATGCTTCCTTGGTGCACCCCCTAGTGGTCTTTGTTCGCAGTCTTATAGTTAAATCTTGATTGTTGTAGCTAATTCCAGGGAGGGTTTGACCTCCAGGCCAAGTGGCTATGAGAATCAGCTGTGTCAGCAGTGAGAGAACTTCTGTCCTCTAGGGAGGTGCTAATCTGGCCTTTGCCTGAGGCTATCCGGCAAATGCCTGTGTGCCGGGCTTGGGCGGGGCGGGTCGCACAGGATCAACAGGGTGGGCCGGAGAGAGCAGTTATGGCGGCTCTCAGTCCTGTCCCCAGGGGCTCTGCCTCTCTGAGTCCCAGCACCCGCTCAGAATTTGACTTCAGCACTGCGCCTCCTCTGAGTGTCCGTATGCGTTTCTCTTTCCTCCTAGTTGTAGGACTTCCACTCAGCCAGCGTTCCTGTGGTTCTGGGTGATGTCCCTTCCGTTTTTTGGTTTCACTTTTGAAGTAGTTGTTCAAAGCAGCAAACTCCGGCGTTAACCTATGCCGCCATCTTGGTTCTCCCAGGCAAGCACCCTTACTTTGATAAAACCTCTCAGGAAAGTCAAAATACAGGGATAACACCTCAACATCATAAAGGTCAAATATGACAAACCTACAGCCAACATCATACTCAATGGGCAAAAATTAAAAGCATTTTCCTTAAGAACAGGAAAAAGACAAGGATGTCTACCTTCACCACTCTTATTCAAATGAGTACTGGAAGTCTAAACCACAGCAATCAGATAATAAGAGATTAAAAAGCACCCCAATTGGAAAGGAGGAAGTAAAACTGTCATTATTTAGAGATGACATGATATTGCACATAGAAAACCCTAAAGACTCCACAAGGAAACTACTAGACTTACTAAAGCAATTCAGCAAGGTAGCAGGATACAAAATCAACACCCAGAAATTGGCATTTTTAATACACCAATAATAAACTGTCAGAAAGAAAAACTAAAAAAAAATCCCACTTACCATTGTAACAACAACAAGAAAATACGATACTTAGGAATAAACTTAACAAAAGAAGTAAAAGACCTGTACTTGGAAAATTATGGAACATTGAAAAAAGAAATAGAGGGAGATACAAACAAATGGAAGACTATACCATGTTCATAGATTAGAAGAATTAAAATCATTAAAATGTCCATACTACCCAAAGCAGTCTATAGATTCAGTGCAGACCCTATTAAAATACCAGTGGCATTCTGCATATAACTAGAACAAATTTTCCAAAAATTTATATGGAATCATAAAGGACCCCAAATAGCTGCAGCAACCCTTTGAAAGAAGAACAAAGTAGAGAGATCATAAAATCAGTTATCAAACTATACTACAAAGCCACTATACTCAAAACTTCCTGTTACTGGCACAAGACAGGCATACATAGCAATGGATCAGAACAGAGACCCCAGAAATTGGTCTCTCCACACCATTATGGTCAATTAATATTTGCTAAAGGAGGCAAGCACATACAATGGAGTAAATGTAGTCTCTTCAACAAATGGTTTTGGGAAAACTGGACAGACACATGTGAAAAGATGAAACTAGACCACCAACTTACATCATCCACAAGAATAAACCCAAAATGGATAAAAGACTCAAATGTAAGCAATGAAACCATAAAAATTCTTAAAAACATATGCAGTAAAATATCAGACATAGCAACATTTTTGCTGATACATCTCCTAGGGCAAAAGAAACAAAGAAAAAAATAAACAAATGGGACTATCTATATATATAAAAGCTTAAGAGACCGTTATGACCAGTTGACCAAAAGACCAGTCGACCGGTCGCTATGAGGATGCACTGACCACCAGGGGGCAAACGCTAAATGCAGGAGCTGCCCCCTGGTAGTCAGTGCACTCCCACAGCCAACCTCCTATGGGACGCCAACCTCCCGCAGTCCCTCCCCACAGCCAGCTGGCCCCAATCCACCTGGATCGGCCCTGATCGTCAGCCAAACTGAGGGACCCCACCCATGCACAAATTTGTGCACCGGGCCTCTAGTATCAAAATGAAAAGCTTCTGCACAGCAAAAGAAACTACCATCAAAATGAAAAGGGAACCCAGTGTATGGGAGAACATATTTGGCAATTACACATCTGATAAGGGGTCAATTGCCAAAATATATAAAGTACTCATACAATTCAACAAAAGGAAGACAAGCAATCTAATTTAAAAATGGACAGAGGACCTGAATAGACACTATTCCAAAGAGCATATACAAATGGCCAAGAGACATATGAAAAAAAATGCTCAAAATCACTAGTCATTAAAAGCTCAATGAGATATCACTTCACACCTGTCAGAATAGCTCAATAAATCAACAAACAACAAGAGCTGGTGAGGATGCAGAGAAAAGGGAACACTAGTTCAGTGCTGGTGGGAATGCAAATTGGTATAGCCACTACAGTAAACAGTATGGAGTTTCCAAAAAAATTCAAAATGGAATTGCCATGTAACCCAGCACAACCACTTCTGGGAAGATATCCTAAGACCCCCGAAACACCAATCAGAAAGAATATATGCACCCCTATGTTCATAGCAGTGCTATTTACAATAGCTAAGATTTGGAAACAGCCCAAGTACCCATCAGTGGATGAGTGGATAAAAATGCTGTGGGACATTTACACAATGAATACCATGCAGCTGTAAAAAAAAAAAAAAAAAGGATGTTTTACCCTTCAGGATACCATATGGACCTGGAGACTATTATGCTAAGTGAAATAAGCCAATCTGAGAAAGACAAATATCACATGATCTCACTTATTTGTGGAATCTAATGAACAAAACGAATTGACCAACAAAATAAGACCTGAAGAATGGAGCCATGGAACAGACTGACATGCCTCCATGTGGGGGTGTGAGGATGAGGAGAGATAAACTAAAGAACTTATATACTTACATGCAAAGCCCATTGACATGAACAATAGGGTGGTGAAGACCTGGGTGGGTGGGTAGGGGCTAGGTGGAGGGATGTAAGTGGAGAGGAAATGGGAGACATCTGTAATATTGTCAACAATAAAATAAAATTTTTTTAAAAGGATTAAAATAAATAAAACAAATGTCATTCAAAAATACAAACATTCTGTACAAGGGTTTAAATAATTCATAAATCATAAACTCATAACCATTCTGAGAGCAAAAAAGGAAATTTTAGAGACATTTCTTGTCTCTAAACCATCATGAAAGGCAAAACTTCTATGAAGATATCACTGTTGTTTTTTTATCAGAGAGGAACATAAAAGCTAGAACTCATTTTCTGCCCTACTCACTCACTCACTCACACCTACAGCAAGTTACTGAATACTTGCTATTACTGAAAACCTATGTATACTAGGTATTAAGAATAGTGTAACAAAAGACAAGAAGACCAAATCCAAGTGTATTCCACAAATTATCCTTTGTTTTTAAACAAATGATTTTACAAAAAGCAAAATAGTATAAATACCATACGTATATGTGTACATATAGTACCTTCATCTACGTTCTTTTTCCTGCTAAGAAATCTTAAAGCTATGTTATTTAGAGCAAAGAAGCAAGAGTAGGGAGAATTCAGAGGTGAGTATCAGACAGAAAGTTCTTTTCTCAAACCTACTGGTTTTAATTAATGCCCCCTTGACATAAAACTTGTTCTTAAACAGAACTCTATTCTTATCCTGTTTAAAATGTAGTTTCAATAATGAGCAAATACAAAGTCTACTCCATTCGGAGAGGCACAGCAAGAATTGTACTCTGAGAGTGAAGACAGAGATCAGTCATACTAATTTGTTCCAGTGCTCCTCCCAAACCATATGTGTATTTAGTTTATACTAAGTTTGGCTTATACTAAATTTCAGAGGTACAAATGAAGGGGCTGCAATACAGAAGACAATTAATTACAGACTTAGAAGGAACAATAAGGAAAAAGAAAAAAGCTCTGGTCTGAGTTGTGTGAAAAGAAGCCCATGTGGTCTCAGGCAAGTCAACTCAGCCTGTTTTCTAAGCTATCAAATAGGAATGATGAAATCTTTCCCTACCTCCCTAGTAAAGCTGTTATAAAACTTTTTAATACTCTATAAATGAGATATTATTATGAATCCCCAAACAGGGGAACTCTGACTATAGGAGGTGTTTTTGTTGTAAGATATATAATAAAACTAGAGGCCCAGTGGGTGGGGTCCCTCAGCCTGGCCTGCGGGGATCAAGCTGAAACCAGCTCTCTGACATCCCCTGAGGGGTCCCAGATTGTGAGAGAGCACAGGCCAGGCTGAGAAAACCCACTGATGCAATCATGGTGCAATCAGGGCCGGGGAGGAACCCTGGGAAGGGCTCCAGGGCGTGTATGGCCCATCTCTCTCAGCCCCCATGGGCCGGATGCCAGCAGCAAGCTAACCTACTGGTTGGAGTGTCTGCCCCCTGATGGTCAGTATGCATCATAGCAACTGGTTGAACGGTTGGGCACTTAGCATATTAAGCTTTTAAATATAGACTAGAGACCCGGTGTATGAAATTTGTGCACGGGTAGGATCCCTAGGCCTGGCTGGTGATCAGGGCCAATCTGTGGGGCAACCAGCGGGGCGATCAGGGGGCCCCCACTGGCACCCACCTTGGCTGGCCTGGCGTTGCCCACTTGCTGGCCCTGCCCCCCACCACCAGTTGCCTCCCTCTGGGGGGCAACCGGCAGGGCAATGGGGGGCCCCTGCTTGTACCTGCCTTGGCTGACCTGGGCCTCCGGCTAGAGGCAGCTCCTGTGTTGAGCATCTGACCCCTGGTGGTCAGTGCGTGTCATAGCGACCGGTCATTCCATTGTTTGGTTGATTTGCATATTAGGCTTTTATTATATAGGATAGATAGACATATCTTCAGAAGGAAAATAGTTCACAGCATGTTTTGGAAGTAAAATCTATTTTGAGGTAGTTTGCTGGTTTGTCTAGAATTCATATTCCCAGCATAAAGCCAAAAGGAATGAAGAAGACCAACTGTTCTAACAAATTCCAGGAGTAATGTCTGTCTATCTGTCAGTCTCTTTCTCTTTAACAAGTAACTCAGCGTCTTTGGCTTTTTGTCATTCCAACATTTTTTTCTGCTAACATAATATGCTCCCTCCTTTTGATTCAGGGACCACAATATTGTTTCTGAACTCAGTTCTTTAGCCTAGAAAAACCTGTCCTATAATTCTGAAAAGTCCTTATATATTTGAATATTATCTACAATTATACTTTTTCTATCAAGTTTTCATATAAAAGGTGAGCAAATTTGTTCTGACTTATCCCTGTTTTAAAACATCCTAAATAGCTCAAAATCCTAGATAGTAAGGCAAGGAAGAGCCTAACTCTCACAACACTAGACTCCAAATCTTGAGAGTGGCGGGGCTCAAACAGAAGCAGAACTTATATGAAGCTTTAAAAATATTATAGGTGGTATTGATCTGCGGATACAGAGAGCTTCAGGGCTCTTCCACATTAGGATATCTTTTAAGAGAAACATCTTCAGTCCACAGATAACATGCCATGAAGCTAAGATTATTCACCTGCTTCAGTAGCTACCATGACAGTTTATGAATTCTAAAAGATTTGCCATTTTAATGACATAGTTATTAAAAATGAATCTCTATGCGATTAAAGTAAGCATTATATACCAAATAAATTTCTATGAACAATTAATTCTTACATTTTCATCCACACCTATTACTTTTGAATTTTTTTAATACTCACCGAGGATATTTACCTAATTAATTTGACAGCTTCCATTGATTTTCAGAAAGAGCGAAAGGGAGGGTAGAGGAACCAATTAAGAGAGAAACATTTATGTGAGAGAGCCACATCAACTGGTTGCCTCCCACACACTCCCCAACTAGGGCCTGGGAGCAAACCTTCAACCGAGGTATGTGCCCTTGACTGGGAATCAAACCCAGGACCCTTCAGTCCACAGGCTGATACTCTAACCACAAAACCAAACTGGTCAGGGCCACACCTATTATTTTTTAAGTTAAAATGATAATTTTTATAATAGTATGTCAAATAAAATAAAAACAACATGTATGGCCCTAGCCAGTTTGGCTCAGTAGATAAAGCATCGGCCTGTAGACTGAAGGGTCCTGGGTTCGATTCCAGTCAAGGACACTGCTGAGGTTGTGGGCTCGATCCCCAGTGTGGGGTGTGCAGGAGGCAGCCGATCAATGATTCTCTCTCATCACTGATGTTTCTTCTCTCTCTCCTTCTCTCTCCCTCTCTGAAATCAATAAAAAAAATATATATTTTTAAAAGTATGTAGATTTTGCCCACAAAAATATCCTTCATCTTAAAAATTAAATTAGAAATACTATCATTTTTATGGACTTTTATAGAAATATGTGCGTTGTTCTTTTTTTTTTTAACATGTTTTTATTGATTCTAGAGAGGAAGGAAGAGGTTAGGAAGAAAAACATCAATTGGCTGCCTCCTACACTCCCCCTACTGCTGATAGAGCCCACAACCTTGGCATATACCTTCACCAGAAATTAAATCATAACCTCCTGGTGCATGGGATGACACAATCTACTGAACCACACTGGCCAGACTAGAAATGGGTATTAATAAAAACTATTCTAAATGTATAGAATCAAGATTTTGGGAATTTACCTAATTAATTTGACAGCTTCCAGCTCCTTGGCAGTTGGTAAAGTCATCTTCAGGAAAACCATGTTGAATGTGCACTCATTCAGAAGTGCTGCTGCCTTCCTCACATCACTAATGGTTATGGTGACTTTTGCTATATTTGAAAACAATTTCTGTACAATATCAGACAGGTATTGAACAGTGACATCTCCAACTAATAAGAGGTCTATTTTTGCCTGAAAGAGAAGGAAAAAAGCAAAAGTATCACATGATTAATATTTGAGCACAGAGAAAAAAATGTCATATATGAGAGGACAAAATAAAGTTCACAAATTACACAATGAGTGACTATACAACAAGACTCAGTGGTCAGATGCCGGGAGCCAGTCCATCCTTGCTGTTTCAAGGGACCTGGCATATATGGCATACTGTTCTTAATATGTTTGCTCACCTTCTTGGCACTATGTGTTTTAACCAAGGTCACCTCTCTGAGAAAGGTTGTTTCCCCAGGTAGGGATTTTTCCCTGAAGTTAGGGAGGGAATAAAACCCCTTAACTAAGTGCCAGGTGGGTAATTAATCACTTTAACTACGAACAATCATGCTGAAGCTACATAATCTTTACTCCCTGGAATGGAGATAAGAAATGCCCTAACCTTTGGAATAGAGATTGATAGGATTGGAATCAACTGGTATAAATACAGATGTAACAAGACAACAGGACACAGAACCTAGACACAGAACCTACACAGAACCTAGAGACAGAAGAACTTCGCTGGAGAGAACATGGCAAAAGATCCTGGACAGAAACTGGCCACAGAACCTAGAGACAGAACCTAGCGAGAGAACATGGCAAAAGATCCTGGACAGAAACTGGCCACAGAACCTAGAGACAGAACCTAGCGAGAAAACATGGCTGAAGAACCTAGAGACAGAACCTGGCTACAGAACCTGGATAGAACATGGCAAGAGAACCTGACTAGAACCTGGTGACTGAACCTGGATGGAGAACCTGGACAGAACCTAGCTGGAGAACCTAGCAAGGGAACATGGACACAGAACCTGGCTGGAGATCCTAACCAGAACCTGGCTGGAGATCCTGAACAGAACTTCGCTGGAGATCCTGAACAGAACTTGGCTGGAGATCCTGGCTAGGCTGCTGATCAACTGAATGCTGTCTCTGTGTCATTCTTTCTTCACCGACTCCATCCACACCTTTGGGGACCCCTGGACCTGCTGGGGTTGGACCCCAGAAATTTCCATCTTCATCTTCTATTCCCCATAGCTACTGAACACATACTACTGAAAATGTCAAAGAATGGACATGCTTGCATTCAGTAGACAGTTGGAAATGTCAGGCCCTAGCCTAAACAGCTCCACATGAGAAAACAAATTTGGGAACTGACCAGAGTTGAAGCCAAAAGAGGTGGGGGAAGGAATTAGAAACACCTGTACAAAAAGAAAGGCAGCTTCTCAAACACACAATTATGTGGGGCAGGATGCTGTTGTAGGTGGCCCACCATGGTGTTCCCTGCCCCTTCAGCCTATTTTCTCAAGGACTGCTGGGAAGAACATGCGAGGTGCAAGACCCGAGGCAAGTGAGTTCAAAGTAAGCAAAGCTTCTGCACTTCTCACTTCTATCTTCTAATTTTCTACCCTTTTGTTAAAAAAAAAAAAAAGTGAGTCTCCCTTCACTCATTTCTCATATCCTAATTCAATCCCCTCCCTAGAAGCAACAACTGTCAACAATTTGGTCTATATACAGCAAACAATTTCTTTGTCAAATATATACCTTGATTTATTCTGGTCATCAGATTATTTATTCACTTGATTTTTAGATTCACTTGTTGATAGATGTGTATTTGTTGTTCATAATTTGTATCTTTACCATTTTCTTCTTCTGCCTCTTCTTAAAGGATACCTTTCAGCATTTCATATAATACTGGTTTGGTGGTGATGAACTCCTTTAGCTTTTTCTTATCTGTGAAGCTCTTTATCTGACCTTCACTTCTGAATGATAGCTTTGCTGGATAAAGTAGTCTTGGTTGTAGGTTCTTGGCATTCATCACTTTGAATATTTCTTGCCACTCCCTTCTGGCCTGCAAAGTTTCTGTTGAGAAATCAGCTGACATTCATATGGGTACTCCCTTGTACGTAACTAACTGTTTTTCTCTTGCTGCTTTTAAGATTCTCTCTTTGACTTTTTCTCTTGGCATTTTAATTATGATGCGTCTTGGTGTGGTCCTCTTTGGATTCCTTTTGTTTGGGGTTCTCTGTGCTTCCTGGACTTGTAAGTCTATTTCTTTCACCAGGTAGGGGAAGTTTTCTGTCATTATCTCTTCAAATAGGTTTTCAATATCTTGCTCTCTCTCTTCTTCTGGCACCCCTATAATTCGGATGTTGGTACGCTTGAAGCTGTCCCAGAAGCTCCTTACACTATCTTTGTATTTTTGGATTCTTTTTTCATTTTGCTTTTCCGGTTGGGTGTTTTTTGCTTCTTCGTATTTCAAATCTTTGCCTCGATTCTTGCGCTCCTCTGGTCTGCTGTTGGGAGTCTGTATAATATTCTTTATTTCAGTCAGTGTATGCTTAATTTCTAGTTGGTCCTTTATCACAACCTCGAGGGTCTCATTAGATTTCTTGTAGGTCTCATTAAGTTTATCGGCAGTTTCTAGAAAATTCTTGAAAAACCTTAAAAGTGTGGTTTTGAACTCTATATCCAGTAGTTTGCTTTCCTCCATTTCTGTCATTTGTGTCCTGTTTCTTTGTCTCCACATTTTTTATGCTTCGCTGTGTTGATAAAGTGGTTTTCTGTGCTGAGTGTCCTCTAGGGCCCAGTGGTTCAGCCTCCCCAATTACCTGAGGAGGACCCTCTTGGTGAACCCCCTTGTGGGCTTTGTGCACAGCCTTGTTGTAGTTAAGCCTTGATTGTTGTAGTTATCACTGGGAGGAATTGACCTCCAGGCCAATTGGCTGTGAGAGTCAGCTGTGTCTGCAGTGGGAGAACTGGGCTGGAGATACCCCTCTAGGGCAAGACTTGCTTCAATGGAGCTTTGGTGCTCACTGAGTCTGCCCCCTGAGTGTGTCCTTTATGGTTCCACAGAGCTGGAAACTGGATGGTCCCACTCTGACCTCTGGGCTTCCTGGCTCCTGGATCTCTAGGGAGGTGCTAATCTAGCCTTTGCCTGAGGCTATCCAGCAAAAGCCTCCCTGCCGGGCTTGGGTGGGGCAGGTCCCACGGGATCAACAGGTCGGGGCTAGCAGTTATGGCTGCTCTCAGTCTTGCCCTCAGAAGCTCTGCTTCTCAGTGTCCCGGTAATCGCTGCAAGCCCCTCGGAGAGAAAGCTGCCCTTGAGTTCCGACCAATGCCAGACAGTCCCGTTTCTCCCGTATGAGTCTAGGTCCCTGGAGACTCACCCGTAACTGGACCTCAGAGCCTGAGACTCCCTCCCGATTGAAAATGACAACCACGCCCTCAGCCGCCAGCCTGCTCCGCATGCACCTCCACACCTTAGTATTTTACTTCCATACTGCACCTCCTCTTAGTCTTGGTATGGTTTTCTCTTTCCTTCTAGTTGTAGAATTTCCACTCAGCCAGCATTCCTGTGGTTCTGGATGATGTCTGTTCTGTCTTTTAGTTGTATTTTTGAAGGGGTTGTTTGAGGCAGCAATCTCCGGTGTTTACCTATGCCGCCATCTTCGTTTCTCCCTATTTTATTTTTTCTTTATTTTATTTTATTTGGGGATTAGTGTTCTACATTCTATTTTTATGTTGCTTTTACCATTATTTTACTCTATCTCAATTTTTCCTTTATGCCAACACTCTTTTCCTCATTTTTCCCCTTTTTCTCATGTTTCTCTTACCCTGTTCTTGCTTTAGTTTTTCTCTAGCTTTTCTTTTTACTCTCTGTTAAAAATTGACCTTACTCATATACCTAGTTTCCTCTCCCCTGTTCCAAGTCCATGGACATTTCTCTCTTCTCTTTCTTCACTATCCAAATTTTTTCATTTCTTCCTTTTTTTAATTTTTTTCCTCTTTCATTCTGTCTTGTTGTTGTTTGTTTGATTGTTTCTTAATTTGATTTATTTTTTTTCCTTTTTTGTGCTTCTGTTTTTCCACTCCTTGTTTGTTCTCCTCTTCTACTAAGAGCCTAATTAATTCCAATCACCAACTCCGGCCCATCTACTCTCTATTCCCCTTTTCTAATAGTATATGAATACATAGATAGATAGATTAAAGAACAAGGAATTTTTATGTAAATTTTCATATATATATGTATACATATATGTATGTATGTATATATTCTTTCTTTGTATTTTGTTTTTTACTTTTCTTCTGTACATTCATTCTCTTTCAACTTCCTCTATACTGAATTGTGGCTATTTCCCCATTCATTCAATTCCTTGGCCTTACCTTTTGGAACTAAGTTCTGCTTCCTCAGATTCATCTGAGTGTTTGTTATTTGGGTGTTTGTTGTTTCATTTTTTGGATTAGTTGTTTTTTATTGTTTGCATTTATCTCTGGAGTTTTCTTATTTGCATTTTTTAGATTAGTAGTAATTTATTGGAATTTTCTCCCCATATACATATACTTTTTCCACTTTCTTTTTTTCTTCCCTTTCTTTTCTCTCTTACATTTTTCCTTTTCTCAATATCATTTTTGCACTCTTTTCTACCCCCTAATTCTCTGGTGGTCACCTTTATATGGGGTCATTAGTATTGTGAATACATTTGAGTTTGCTGCCATGTGCATTGTGTCTTCTCATGCTGTATTTTGTGCCTTTAAGTCAACACAGGAGAGAGTGAGAGCTACATACCCAGACACCTTAAGAGGAGCGATCATGGGGAGACAAAAAAATCCTGCATACAAAAGAAAAGAAGGAATCACTGGAAAAAGAGTAAACAAAATGGAGGCAAGCAATGTATCAGAAAAAAAATTCAGAGCAATGGACATAAGAATGCTAAAAAGGTTGGAAAACAAATTCAACAATATGTGTAAGAACCTAGAGGAAATGAAGAAGAACCAAGAACAAATGAAAATGACATTGCTGTAATAAAGGACTCAATAGAAAGCATCAACAGTAGACCAGAAGAAGCAGAGGAGCTAGAAGACAAAGTAGGAAAAAAAAACCCAAGCAGAGCAGCATCTAGAAAAAAAAACAACTTAAAAAACAGGAGGAGAACATAAGGGAACTTTGGGACAACATGAAATGAAACAACATCTGCATAATATGGGTCCCAGAGGAGAGGAAACTGAGCAAGGAATAGAAAACCTGTTCGAAGAAATAATGACAGAAAAATTCCCTGATATCAGGTAGAGAAAAACTCACACAAGTCCAAGAAGCTCACAGAGTCCCAAACAAGATGAACCCCCCAAAACTGACACCAAGGCATTTTATAATTAAATCGGCAAAGACCAAAGACAAAGTAAGAATATTAAAGGCTGCCAGAGAATGACAGAAAGTTACCTACAAGGGATCTCCTATTAGAATATCAACTTATTTCTCAGCAAAAAAAATCAGGCCAGAGGGAATGGAATGAAATATACAAAGTCATGCAAATCAAGGGTCTGAATCTAAAAATACTGTACCAGCCAAACCGGTTTGGCTCAGTGGATAGAGCGTCTGCCTGCGGACTGAAAGGTCCCAGGTTCGATTCCGGTCAAGGGCATGTACCTGGGTTGCGGGCACATCCCCAGTGGGAGGTGTGCAGGAGGCGGCTGGTCGATGTTTCTCTCTCATCGATGTTTCTAACTCTCTATCCCTCTCCCTTCCTCTCTGTAAAAAATCAATAAAATATTAAAAAAAAATTTCATAACTTAATTTTAAAAAAAATAAAAATAAAAAATAAAAATACTGTACCAGCAAGGCTATCAGTTAAAGTTGAGGGTGAAATCAGGAGCTTCACAGACAAAAAAGGACTAAGGGAGTTTATTACCACCAAACCAGCAATGCAAGAAATGCTAAAGGGACTGCTGTAAAAAAAAGAAATAGGAACGGAAGAAGCAACACCAGCATAAAGAATAAAAATGGCGACAAGCAAGTACCTATCAATAATGACTTTAATGTAAATGGATTAAATGCCCCAATAAAAAGACATAGAGTAGCTGAGTGGAAAAGAAAACATGAATGACATATCTACTGTCTACAGGTGACTCACCTCGGAACAAAGGGCTCGCACAGAATGATGGTGAAGGGATGGAAAAAGGTTTTTCAGGTGAATAAAAATGAAAAAAAAGATGGGGTAGCAATACTTATATCTGACAAATTAGACCTCAAAGTGAAGGTCATAACAATATAAGGAAGGCCACTTCATAATACTAAAGGGAGAAACCCAACAAGAAAATATAACTCTGGTACACATATATGCACCCAATACAGAGGCACCCAAATATGTAAAAAAGGATATAAAGGGAGAGATTGACAGCAATACAGTCATAGTAGAGGTCTTTAATACCCCACTAACACCACTGGAAAAATCCTCTAAACAAAAAATCAGCAAAGAATACCATGTTCATGGATTGGTAGAATAAACATCATCAAAATGTCCATACTACCCAAAGCAATCTATAGATTCAATACAATCCCCATTAAAATACAAACGGCATATTTCACAGATCTAGAACGAATGTTCCAAAAATTCATCTGGAATAAAAAAAAAGACCTCAAATACCTGCAGCAATCCTGAGAAAGAAGAACAAAGTAGGTGGGATCTCAATAACAGATATCAAGCTGTATTACAAAGCCACTGTTTTCAAAACAGCTTGGTACTGTCACAAGAACAGACATATAGACCAATGGAATAGAATAGAGAACCCAGAAATCGATCCAAACCACTATGCTCAATTAGTATTTGACAAAGGAGGTATGAACATACAATGGAGTCAAGACAGTCTCTTCAATAAATGGTGTTGGGAAAATTGGACAGATACATGCAAAAAGATGAAACTAGACCACCAACTCACACCATACACAAAAATAAACTCAAAATGGATAAAGGACTTAAACATAAGATGGGAAACCATAAAAATACTGGAGGAATCTATAGGCAGCGAAATCGCAAACATATGCCGAAGGAATTTCTTCACTGATACTGCTCCTAGAGCAATGGAAACTAAAGAGAAAATAAACAAATGGGACTACATCAAAATAAAAAGTTTCTGCACAGCAAAAGAAACCATCAACAAAACAACAAGAAAGCCCACTGCATGGGAGAACATATTTGCCAATGTTATCACCAATAAGGGTTTAATCTTCAACATTTACAGGGAACTCATACAACTTAACAAAAGGAAGATAAGCAATCCAATCAAAAAATGGGCAATGAACCTAAATTGACACTTTTGAAAGAGGACATACAGAAGGCCAAAAGACATATGAAAACATGCTCAAAGTCACTAATTATACAAGAGATGCAAATCAAAATGACAATGCGGTATCATCTCACACCTGTCAGAATGGCTATCATCAACAAACAACAAGTGTGGAGAGGATATGGAGAAAAAGGAACCCTTTTGCACTGCTGGTGGGAATGCAGACTGGTGCAGCCACTGTGGAGAACAGTATGGAGTTTCCTCAAAAACCTAAAAATGGAACTCCCATTTGACCCAGTGATCCCACTTCCAGGAATATATCCCAAGAAGCTAGAAACACCAATGACAAAGGACATATGCATCCCTATGTTCATAGAAGCACAATTCACCATGGCTAAGATTTAGAAACAGCCTAAGTGTCCATCAGCAGATGAGTGGATTAAAATCTGTGGTATATCTATACAATGGAATACTGTGCCACTATAAAAAAGAAGGAATTTTTACCATTTTCAACAGCATGGATGGAACTGGAGAGCATTATGCTAAACAAAATAAGCCAGTCAGAGAAAGATAAATATCACATGATCTCACTCATATGTGGGATATAATGATCAACATAATTTGATGAACAAGAATAGATCCAGAGCCGAAACCGGTTTGGCTCAGTGGATAGAGCGTCGGCCTGAGGACTGAAAGGTCCCAGGTTCAATTCCGGTCAAGGGCATGTACCTGGGTTGCGGGCACATCCCCGGTGGGGGATGTGCAGGAGGCGGCTGGTCGATGTTTCTCTCTCATTGATGTTTCTGACTCTCTATCTCTCTCTCTTCCTCTCTGTAAAAAATCAATAAAATATATTAAAAAAAAAAAAAAATAGATCCAGAGACAAATGGTAGGGAGGAGGGTTTAGAGAGCAACCAAAGGACTTGTATGCATGTATGTTAGCATAACCAATGAACACAGACAGTGGGGGGTGGGGATTGCCCGGGGTAGGAATGGCTTTGGGGGGAGGGGTCAATTGGGGGAAAAGGAGACATATGTAAAACTTTAGACAATAAAAAAAAGGCCATCAAGAATATTGACATCTTCCAGGTAGGCCCTGCGCGTGGCTCCCCGCGACCGTGGTCCCACAGACTAATTCGCCAAAATGACTAACACAAAGGGGAAGAGGAGAGGCACCCGCTATATGTTCTCCTGGCCTTTTAGAAAATGTGGAGTTGTTCCTTTGGCCACATACATGCGAATCTACAAGAAAGGTGATATTGTGGACATCAAGGGAATGGGCACTGTTCAAAAAGGAATGCCCCACAAATGTTACCATGGCAAAACTGGAAGAGTCTACAATGTCACCCAGCATGCAGTGGGCATTATTGTGAAAAAGCAAGTTAAGGGCAAGATTCTTGCCAAGAGAATTAATGTACGTATTGAGCATATTAAGCACTCTAAGAGCCGAGATAGCTTCCTGAAACGTGTGAAGGAAAATGATCAGAAAAAGAAGGAAGCCAAAGAGAAAGGTGCCTGGGTTCAACTGAAGCGTCAGCCTGCTCCACCCAGAGAAGCACACTTTGTGAGAACCAATGGAAAGGAGCCTGAGCTGCTGGAACCCATTCCCTATGAATTCATGGCATGATAAGTGGGAAAAAATAAAAAAGACTTATGTGCTGATAAAAAAAAAAAAAAGAATATTGATTTTACTAAGGGTATAAAAGTGCTCATGAAACAATGATCACAGGCAATTGAAGAGGTAGAAAAACTGTTTTGATTTGAAAAAAATAAAAAGCAGTTAGCTGGTGACAGCATTTCAGAGGCAGTGATATGTGAAAAAGTGAAGATGCTGCATACTAATCTCCTAAAAGAAACTCCTGGAATGAGTACTGAAAGTGATTCATTTAAGGCTAGTAGGGAGTGGTTCAATAAATTTAAGAATTTTTTGTTCATAGATTAAACAGTTCATTAGACATGTCATATACATAAGAAAGGTTAAAATAGGGAATTATTTGGAGATCTGGAATGGATTAATTCAACTTATATTAATTCTAATTAAGTTCAAGAACCAAGGTTCTACTGTACTGTGCTCATGCATAGGAAGAATTAGCATCCTTAAAATATCCACACTACCCAAAGCAATTTACAGATTCATTGCAACCCTTATCAAAATACTAATGGCGATTGAAAAGATGGCGGCTGGCAGGACAGAGGTGAGCGATAGGAAGTGACTGAGTGAGGGGATGAATGGAGAGTGTGTGGTGTGTGTGTGAGTAAGTGAGGGACAGTTAAATCCCGCAGGAGCAGCAGAGGCTGGCAGACCAGGCTCTCTGGGACATGGAGAGATTACCACCGCTGCGGCACTCCCGGGACTGTGGGACTGGGGCACGGAGCCCACGCCATCTTAAAGGGGAGAGCGGCCTCTTCTAAGAACTCATCAGCACCACCACCCAGACAGGCCTTGGACACTGCCCGCAACCCGGCAGCCACTCCAGCCAAAATCCTGTTGCCCCAGCTGCAGACTCACAGAGCCTGGGATCTCCACCTCCAAAGGACCACCACGCCCACAGCAGTAAGTGCAGCCTCCCCATCCCCAGCCGCAGACATCTGACATCACCTTCGCATGTCTCCAGCGAGCAGGTCTCCGAGGCACACCACTCAATAGACTTCTCTTAGGAGTCACTGGAAGCCTCAGCTGGGTGTGATTTTTGTACAGACACAGGTGCACTGCCACCCAGTAGAAATTCTGAATTCCCTCTGCCTGAATAACTGCCCACACACACCCAGCTGCGCAATTTCAGCGCCAGAGCCCTTCAGTGCCAGGGCCCCTCAGAGTGCATCAGAGCTCAGCGCCAGGGGAACTGCGCCTGCGAACTGCACCACCACAGTTGCTCACTCCCCCTCAGCCCATCTATACACAGGGCACTTGGGGGAAGCCACGGTGAGCCTCTGCTGGGTCCGATCTTGGACTAATAGGGACACACTACCCTGGGCAGTAGAAATTCTGAATTCACCCTTCCTGGATACCTGCCCAAAGCGTGCCAGGGCCCTTCAGAGTGCTTCAGTGCGCCTGCGCTAACAAACTCACTGCCGGTGCTCCTTTGTGCCACCACGGAGAACATGAGCCTATCCACCACAGATGCATCAGCAAAATCTGAGTTTCCCCACCCCACAGCTGCAGAACTCTGGACACTACAGTTGAATGCTTTTCCAGCGTGCAGGTCTCCCCAGACCAGCGCTCCACAGGCAGCCCTGGGACCCCTCTGCGAGCCCTGCTGGTCCTGCACTTAAACAAACAGGGGTGCACTACTGGGCTGTAGAAACGCTGAATTCCCTCTTCAAGAATACTTGCCCACAGACACTGCAATCCAATGGCTTCAGTGCCAGGGCCCTTCAGAGTGTGTCAGTACACCCTGCTGGCAAACACACCACAGGTGCCTCTGTGAGCTGCTGCTGGAATCGCGTGTGTCCAACCACAGAGGCAGCAGCAAAAGCTGAGTCTACCCACCCCATAACTACAGAACTCTGGACACCACAGTCACACTTTGCCAGAATGCAGGCTTCCTGAGCCCCACCACCCCAATAGATGGTTCCTGGGTGCCACTGTGAGTCCCTGCAAGGCACGCGTGATTTCAACCAAGGGCATAAGACAGCAAAAATTGGAACACCCCCTCCACGGCTGCTGAATTCTAGACACCTCAGTTGTGCCTTTCCAGCTCGCAGGTCTACATCAAGAGAACCCAAATAGCACAAGTAGGGAGCTACACTAGACTACCAAACCCAGGAGACCTGAGAGGTCATACCAGTAGCACCACACCCCTAAGAAACTGGGTAGCAAAGCAATCGGAACTACAATTAAAACATTACAGCAAAACATGGGAAGACAAAAAAGCAATCCACAAAGGAAAGAAAAAAAGAAATCACCAGAAAGGGTGTTAAATGAAATTGAGGCTACTAACTTATCAGAGAGAGAATTCAGAGTAATGGTTATAAGGATGCTCAAGTGGCTGGATGACAAATACACACAACTCAATGAGAATTATAAGGAGCTAAATGAGAATGTCACCAACATGAAAAGGAATGAAGAGGAAATGAAGAATGACATAGCTGCAATAAAGAACACAATGGAAGGCTTAAACAGCAGACTAGAAGAGGCTGAGGACCGCATCAGCAAATTAGAAGACAAGGTAGGAAAAAACACACAAACACAGGAGCAACTGGAAAAAAAAACTTAAAAAGCAAGAGGAGAGCCTAAGGGAGCTTTGGGACAAGGCAAAACAAAACAAGATTCGCTTAATAGGGATTCCAGAAGGAGAGGAGGAGAAGCAAGGAATAGAAAACCTGTTTGAAGAAATAATGACAGAAAACTTCCCTGATACTGGCAAGAAAAAAAATACACAAGTACAAGAAGCACATAGAGTGCCAAACAAGATGAACCCCAAAAGACCAACACCAAGCTACATCATAATTAAATTGGCAAACACAAACAACAAAATAAGAAACTTAAAGGCTGCCAGAAAGAGACAGAAAGTTACTTACAAGGGATCTCCTATTAGAATATCAGCTGACTTCTCAACAGAAACGCACCAGGCAAGAAGGGAATGGAATGAAATATACAAAGCAAGGGAAAGAATCCAAGAATACTATACCCAGCAAGGCTAACATTCAAAATTGAAGGTGGAATCAGGAGCTTCATAGACAAAAAAGGGCTAAGAGAGTTTATTACCACCAAACCAGCAATGGAAGAAATGCTAAAGGGACTGCTGTAAAAAGAAGAAACAGAAAGACAAGAAGAAACACAAACATTAAGAATAAAAATGACCACAAACAAGTACTTTTATAGGGTTAAAATGGGCACCCATGGGACACTGGCCGCCGTCCCTGCAGAGGTGTCCTTAGTGTATAGGGTTAAAAGTACTTTTAATAATAGCATTAAATGTAAATGGATTAAATGCTCCAATCAAAAGACACAGGGTAGCTGAATGGATAAGAAAACATGACCCATATATTTCCTGTCTGCAAGAGACCCACCTCAGAAAAAAGGATTCACACAGACTGAGAGTGAAGGGATGGAAAAAAATTTTTCAGGCAAATGGAAATGAGAAAAAAGCTGGGGTTGTGATACTTATATCTGACGAAATAGACCTCCAAGTAAAGGCCATAACAAGAGATAAGGAAGGTCACTACATAATACTAAAGGGAGCAATTCAACAAGAAGATATAACTCTGGTAAAGATATATGCACCCAATACAGGAGTACCCAAATACATAAAACAACTTCTGGAAGATATCAAGGGAGAGATCAATAGCAATACAGTAATAGTAGGGGACTTTAGTACCCCACTGACACCACTGGATAAATCCTCTAAACCAAAAATCAGCAAAGAAACAGCAATCCTAAATGACTCACTAGATAAGATGGACTTAATTGACATCTTCAGAATATTTCACCCCAAAGCTACAGAATATACATTCTTCTCCAGTGCACATGGGACATTTTCAAAGATAGACCATATATTAGGACACAGGCAAAGTCTCTTCAAATTCAAGAGAATAGAAATCATAACAAGCATCTTCTCAGATCACAATGGCATAAAATTAGAAATCAACTACAATAAAAACATTGAAAAAAATCAAACACTTGGAGACTAAATAGCATGTTATTAAGCAATGACTGGGTTACCAGAGAGATCAAAGAATAAAAAGCATCCTGGAAATAAATGACAATGAAAACACAACAATCCAAAATCTATGGGACACAATGAAAGTAGTCCTGAGAAAGAAGTTCATAGCTCTACAGGCCTACCTCAAAAAAACAAGAAAAACTGGCAATAAATTATCTAACCCTACAACTCAAAGAGTTAGAAACAGAGCAGCAAGAAAAGCCCACAGTATCCAGAAGGAAGGAAATAATAAAGATCAGAGCAGAAATAAACAACATAGAGACCAAAAAAAAACAATACAAAAGATCAATGAAACCAAGAGCTGGTTCTTTGAAAGGAATAACAAGATTGATGAACTGCTAGCCAGGATCATCAAGAAACAAAGAGAAAGGACCAAAATAAACAAAATCAGAAATGAAAGAGTTAAAGTAACAACTGACCCTACTGATATACAAAGGACTGTCAAAAAATACTACGAACAACTCTACTCCAACAAACTGGACAACCTCGACGAAATGGACACATTCCTAGGAAAATACAAACTTCCAATCTCAATCAGGAAGAATCAAAAAACCAGAATAGGCCAATAACTACTGATGAAATTGAAACAGTAATCAAAAAGCTTCCAGCAAACAAAAGTCCTGGACCAGATGGCTTCACAGGGGAGTTTTACCGAACATTCAAAGAAGAACTAAAGCCAACCCTTCCCAGACTACTCAGAAAAATTCAAGAGGAAGGCACACTTCCAAGCTCTTTCTATGAAGCCAGCATTACCCTAATCCCAAAACCAGATAAAGACACCACAAAGAACGAGAATTACAGGCCAATATCCCTGATGAACATAGGTGCTAAAATCCTCAACAAAATTCTAGCAAACCGGATCCAGCATTACATTAGAAAGATCATACACCATGACCAAGTGGGATTTATTCCACGAATGTAAGGCTGGTACAATATCCACAAAGCAATAAACGTGATACATCACATAAACAGGTTGAGAGACAAAAATCACATAATCATATTGATTGATGC